ACGTCAAGATTTCAGAAATTGGCCGGAGGAGCAGCTGGTGACTCAGAAAAGATGAGCACCGAGTTCTAAATTTCAGAAACTTGGACCGAGGTCGAAGTTTCAAAAACGTGGTCGGAGGAGCAGCTGCTCGGTAGGTTTTCGGCCAGTAAATCTATTATTCGATGTCGCTGCTGGGGAGACTTCTATGAGCTGGGCAGTGAGGAAATTTTTTCCCTTTGTTAGTGTAATTTGGGGAAAGTGGGTGCCGAGGTTTTGTTTTATTAATTTTGCATTCACTTGGGAAAAGGCAAAATTTCCCTCCATTTTCTGGCTTTATTAATTTTGTAATGAATTAAATATTCTTGTCCAGGTCAGAAAATTTTGAATCCCTGTTACCAGTCGGTCAACAGCCCTGTCCACCTAGCTTTATTGCCAACAGTGTAGAATTATGATTCTAACGTGTTGTACAGATTCTTATCACTACTTTTATGAAACGAAGCGCTTAGGCGCATTTATGCGTACTGGTAGGAATATTAAAACAAATAAAAGTATACATATCCAAAGAGAGTTTCACGTAAATTTCAAACAATATATTTGCTCAAATATAATCTCTACAAGCCTTACAGTAAACGACCAAAAAATCATCCTTCAAGTTTGAACCAAACAAACAACTTCATCATTCTAATTATCACCTGGATATTATTTACAAGCATTCCATACTTGTTAATCCTCCAAGCTACATGAAAACGCACCTGTGGTAAGAGCTCCAAATGAATTCAATTAGACTTCATTTCAACATCATCACTTCCTTTAGTCTCGTCACAATTATCTCGAGGAAGGAGGCCAAGTAGCGGCAAAGGTAACAATGAGCTCAGATTGCAAAGAACAATCAGGAAAACCAAGTTGTTAAAATTATCCTTTGTAACACCAAAAACCTGGGTTAGCCCGGCTCCAATCAGGCCACCAAGGACACTCCCGCCATTCGATATGGACATAAGGGTTGCAAAGAGAGTTGCTTCCATCCCTTGTGGACATATTTTTGCCGCTAACACGAGAACAGGCAAAAAGGAAGCCTGAAAATGTACTTGTTACTTATCTTGGAACAGAAGTCAGGACAAGCATAAGCTATATATTAGATATCAGAACCGAGGAAGTATACCTGACTGAGAACCGTTATTATCAGCGAGTCACCAATTGCAAACCACTCATCACTTATACCCAACTGCCGGTTTAATCCAGTAACAAGCAAAACCTAGGCATTCTCAAAAGAAAAAGAAGGTCCATTTCAGATATGTAACAAAGAAATGATTACAGAAACAGGAGAAGACACATACTTGAGTCATCCCGAGAGCTGAACCAATACAAGTAGTCACAAGAAATATTCTCTGCAAGGGAACCTTTTTCAAAAATCCATTATAAAGTCCGACGCCAAGAAGTGATGCAACTGAAGTGACGAGTTTAACACGTCCCAGAAACTCTGGAGTAAAACCAAGCTTATTTGTACTGCAAGCAGAATGTTCTTCGTTATCCAATATTCATAAATAACACAATAACGCAACTACTATTATGAACAAAATATTCGATCGTCTCGAATCACATACGTGAAATAAAACATGGCGGAATCAGACTGTGGTGTTGCCTGCCACAGAAAAATGAAAACGGTGGGAAGAAACACATTGGGTTGCTTAACTGCATCCCACAATTGTGTAATGCTATGTTTTGCGCTTTCAACAAAGTCAGAACTGCTCATTAAATTCTGTCCCCTTCCGGGGCCACACACAGGCTGCTCTTTCACAAGTACAGCAACTGCAGATGTCATCAATGGAAGCAATGCAGTCAATCCAAAGACAAATCTGTATGCGTTCAGAAGTTCATCAGTAATTTGTCTTGAGTAACAAACACATTAAAAATGAAAGATTGTCATGGCATACCTCACACCATAAGCACCCACAAAGGAGCCACTAAAGTAGGAACTCACAATGCCCCCAAAAGCTGATGAACCCCAACATAAAGACTGGAGAGAGCCTGACATGCTTTGTGACTCACCCCGAGCCCTTTCTACAACCATGGAGTCTACAACCTACAGCATACTTCTATCTCAAAATTGACTTTGAAACACGATTCTTCTTGTGCACATAGATTTGGTGATATCAATTAATGCATATTGTTCATTTATTGAAAGAAAGATCAATCATGATAAGCTGCACTGATGGCTTGAGTGCAAATGACACAGTAACATAAGACCCAAATTGAGAATATAAAGAGCTTCTACTAGATACATGTACCTAAAAGTGTATCAGAGTTTAAACCTTATCTTCTTTTAAAATACTAAGTCCAAAAACAAAATAGTTATCCATATGAAAATGGACCATTTCATATTACTTTTTCCGAAATTAGCATGCTAAATAGCAGTTATTAATTATGATGGTGAAGGTTTCAAAAATGATATTTCCCCATTTTGTAACTGACATGAAAGGCCCTCTCATGTTTATAAATAGTAAAGATAAACCACGTGTGTCCAAACATGAAGCAGGCAGCCCAAGGAAATAACTTCACAAATGCGATAAATTAATTTCGTAAGCAAATAATATTGGAGAGGGATTTTCTGATCCAACCAAAAGTGATAACATGGGACCCTGGTAGCCATCTGCTTGGATCGTGGTAAGCCAGCAACATATGCTATGGCATAACATTACAATACAACTAACTATGGACTTGTGACTTTCTAACAACAATAGAACATGAAAATTCATTGAAGACTTTAAACACTTTGGACCTCTAATGGATTTGATGTTCTATAGCAGTAGAGATGCATGAATTCTGCACAAGCCTCTATGTCTTTAGATTCCAAAACTAATTTAAAGGCCGCGAACATAAGATTAGAATGTGTTAGGACATGATGAGGTATAAGAAATACTCTGGGCATACACACAGACATCATCCTAAGGGGGATCCAGAGAAGGAAAACCTGGAAAAGTGAACGATAAACTTTATATCTACATATACTATGAGAGAACATTACAATATAACTAACAATGCACTTGTGATTTTCTAACAACAATAAAATATATACATTTATTAAGGCCCCGTTTGATAGCCATTTTTTTCAAAATAAATTTTTCTCTCTCTTCTTTTCAACCACACATTATTTATTAAAATAACATTACACGTAAATCAGAAACTTTTCCTTATTTTTCAACCACACATTTCACATCAATTTACTATTCTAAAATGCATTTTTACATAAAAAATACCTATCAAACACTCCCTAAAGACTTTTTAACAGTTTGGACCTCTAACTTATTCAATATATCTATAGCAGTAGAAATGTATGAATTCTGCACAAGCCTCTGTCTTTAGATTCCAAAAATAGTTTAAAGGCTGTGAACATAAGATTGGAATGTGTTTAGGACATGACGAGGTAAAAAAAGAGATACTCTGGCACGCACACATCCATAATCCTAAGGGGGATCCGAAGGAGCAAAGCCTGGAAAAGTGTATGTCAACCAAGTGGCTATAAACCTTCCTCGAAGTTCATGCATGTCCTATTAGTCCATCTTTAACATCATATGCCCAATGTAATGATGTTTAGTATTCAATTCATGTCCAAAGAATCTCATTTTTTTTATTATATGACAGACATGTTTCTTCTCTATCGAGTAAACCTACCACTACAATATCTCCAACTTAAACTACTTGACTTAGAGAGAAGTGATGATATGACTCAACATTGCTAACTATGATTGGACAAATCATATGAACAAGGGTGAGCCTCTGCTCCTTTCTCGTTATTTAAAGGAACAGTAACTTACGACGTCAGAAAAGGCTACAGAAAGAGAACCGAGAAGTGTGCAGAAGCCAACACCATATTTGCTGTCAACAAAGCTAGCCATTAAAGTCCACGAGAGAGCTCCCAGAAGTCCTGATAGAACCAAGTATGACCGTCTTCGGTAGCCAAAAAGCGGGAAGGAATCACTAAAATATGAAAAATATCGTTAAAGAATTAACTGGAAAAAAAGGGGGATGGGAAAGACAATTATGCAACGCAAGCTGATCCCCACCTGATGAACCCATACAGTGGCTTAACAAGCCATGGTAATGATGAGACGCCAGATATGATAGCTGTCTAGTCAACCATGTCAAACATATCAGCACTTGATGTATTAATTAGAAAATTACTTTGAGTCTTGAT